TCGTAACGCCTATTTAGAACCAAAGTAAAGCCTCTCGTTCTTCCCGGACGCCTATTCAAGAGATTGTACGGTGTATTGTTTGTTTTGTGCATGTGTTGTGGACAAAAAATGACCACGCCCATTTAGTGATTGCAATATGTACGTAATAGAAACCGCACCCCGAACTTGAGCTTTTGATCCCAATTTTTAAATTGATACATTGTAATATAAACCGCGGTTTATATTAGGACTTTAACGGTATTACCCCCCGGTACCCCCATAGATAGCTAACGACAGCCATGCATCAAAATACCTAGATCTTGATTCCTAGGCTTTGATTCATGCTCATCCAAGGGTGAGTCCATCCATAGCTTCATTGCAAGCATTCGTTTCCCCACCGTATTCCTACACTTCCTGCCCCACAAAACCCAATGGTATAGGTGAAAAGATACTGCAAACCAGAGTCATAGAAACCATGGCTACAACATCCCTGTGCTTGTGTGTTGGTGTAAAACACATCAGTGTGTTTAAATAATTAGACGTCAGTCTCACAAAACTAGCCAAATCACATCATTTTTCACGCATTAAATGAACATCATAATCAACAAGCACACACGTGTCAACACTCAATATATATTAGGTTAGAATTAATAAGGAAATATTAATTTTTGAATGACAGTGCTGACATTTTTTAAATGTTTGTGTTTTTAACTGTGCATAGGGTAAAGATAGAACTATTATTTAGAAAGGGCAAAGAGGATAGTGTACATTTCACTGAGTTCAAATTTGCATGCAGCCCTTACAGTGAGAATGTAAATGATACAGTTCCCATCATAGTCTAAAACCATCCACTACTAGTTACCATGGCTACCGCATCACTAAATGAAATATTCACCCTCCCTCAGAGAGAGATAAATATTGGCTGTTCACATAAGGTCAATAATTGGTCAAATTACCTTGATAATATACGGGTCATCTTCGGTCAAACCAGCGAGATACGCTGAGACAGCTCCCTGTTTTGTAGCAAAATTAACCCCACACCATACCCATATAAAAACCTTTAATAGGTGGTTTATTTCACGTAATATACATTATGTAAAGAGATCTCAGTGCTACACAAAGACGAATTTGAGAGTGCAACCTATTCACATTATTCTCTCTCTTAATTGCCCCAAATTTTAGATGTCAACTTAATTACGTTTTATGTACAAAGTGATAATATCTCATGAGAAGATTTTGTTTTTGAAGAATTTCCTTTCCACAAATCACAAACTGAAACTGTTACACAGCGACCCCAGAAGAGAAGCGTAATATTGTAGTAATGATAGGCAAGATAAGTTTGTGTAGACACTCAAAAAAAAAATCCAATTTGAAATCCGTAATCAGTAAAAAAAAAGATTTATAGGCTTTTGGAAATAATAAAGAAACATAAAACTGTCTAAACTCGTACCTTGTCTGCAATAAGATCGCCACTATCGCTGCCTTCTTGGTCCGAACTAAATGATTCATCATCGTCATCGCTATAATTATAAACATCAGGAGAACGATCTAACAAGGAAAGAGAAGACAAACGAAAAAAAAGATTACATGTACCCATAAAATATAAAACTCCTGGTGATTGGTCAACTGCTGAATATATTCCATAACCTGGTGATTTTTATGCCAATCACAAAACTGCTTACTTGTGTAGATGGCAGAATGTTACAATCAATCTCTTAAAAGACATTTCCTTAACACAATTACGTTTAAGGAGTTTTGAGCCAAATTGATGATTATCTATAATTTACTTTATACTTCCATTACTATGAATTCATGACACAAAACAAAAATTGGGGTCACGAAAAACAATTTTTTTTCAAGAAACTGACAGAAGCATTTCGGTGAATTGCAGAACTGTCATTTTATCTTGTCTTGTTGCATTCATTTTTCAACTGTGAAAGTATTTTTTAATCTCGCAATATTATTTAGGTGATATGAGTATAATATTTTTTTCAAGGCATGCGATGAGAATGTCTTTCCCATAATGCATTGCACATATGCTCAGTAACATGCTCAGTGGTGCAAATTTTGAATATGACTTGAACTCCCAAATAGCATTGCCAATATGCTCAAAAGCATAAAATTTGGATTCTGTTTGAAAATGGGAATGTTTCAAAGCAAGTATAACACTACATATACCTAGCCTAACAGCGAGAGCACCATTATGATTGGACGAGGTTTGTAGTTCAACTAACTCTTGCCAAACTATTCTGTTTACAGTATCACATTTGGATTTCATTGCTCAGAACAAAAACCAAAGTGAAGTCATTCCTTGACTGGATTGGATCTGTATACTAATATTAGACTACCAAATCACATGTCAATATGGCAGAACACTCACTACCCATAATGCAACACTGGCATTTCAATAATCGGATTACGAGGTAACTAAAAAAATATGGTAGACAACAAATCCAGTTCTTACTGGAATGCAAAATTAACCTGAATCAGTCTTTTCTTGACACCTTGATAATTTACTGTTTGTAGAGAATAAATTTAAAAAAAAAACAGATAGCCAGACTTGTTTCCATGGAAACAATGATTTCAATTTTATTCTATTTTGATAAGAATTTTTAAATCCATCGCTGAAATGTGGACATTGAAAGCCAGGGATTGAAATAGAATTTTTTCCCTGCATGCACAGAATTTGAAATTTACCTGCACTAACTTGATATTTAAAGTTTAAATAAAATTTAAGGTTTATTGATTTATGCGATCACGAAAGAATTTTTTTTTTAGTTGTCTTACAATGTTGGTTGAACTTAATTTAGGCTTAGTGAATATAATGAGAAAATGTCGTGTTAATTTCTACATGCACAGCGTTCATATTTTGAGTTTACTTGCACTAGCTAATAATCTATGTGCATAGTGCAGTGTGCACCAGAGTATTTTGACCCCTGAAAGCATAGCATATAATACTTGCAATCTAAAAAAGATGGCTGCTAGGTCTCCAGAGGGGGCCATTTATTGAAATCCATTTTTGGAATCGCAGGAATCGCGGTACAAGATGACAACTAAATGTCAAATACCTGGCCCTTTTGAAAGTCATAGTACTGTGCGTCATGTGTCCCCATCACATGACTGATTTCAACAATGATGATTATTCAACTGTCCCTTTTCACATGCATTTTATTCGGATATAGCCTTGTGTAGCGTCACTTTTTTCCATGCATTTGTGTCTAAATCAATATTTCGATGAGTTTTGGTCGTCTTTATGTGGTTTAATCAAAAAAAATTTTAAATCACAGCTATTGCAGCTTTAATGGTGTTTTCTAATATGAATAATTATTCATGAAGATGCTCAAATCAGGCAAAAAAAAAAACGAATAATAAACGAGAAATGTGGATTGTTTGATGTTGAATGTTTTATGGTTACGTAATTTCTAGACAAAAGTATTTAAAAATGGCCGCCAGAAAATTTTTTGTAAGCAATCTACACATGTAGCTCTGCGAATATCAAGAATTTGTAAACTGTGTTGTTTAAAATTTTTGCTACCTTCTCGCTAGTTAGTAATGTACGTACTAGACGGATGAACTATGGTACCTACCAGTTTTATGGGCCGGTGAGCCATGCAAAGAGACTAAAGAGAAAAGGATAGGAAGAAAAAGGAGAGAACTACATCTACATCCCGCAGTAGAAAGATTGGAGTTTGTAACGGCTAATGGTACAGTGTCTATAGTGTACCGTCATTACAACAACAATAACAACAAAAAATATAAATAAAAGGTGGAGAGATAAAAATACAAGGGGAAAAAAAAAGATACTATCAGATCTATTAGTACTACTACAACTATGAGGTGCTATTATACAGTGATTTGTGCTGTTAATAACTACAATGCGGTGTGACGTGTAAGCAAGCTATCATTTTTTTTACAAATAACTAACTCAAACCAAGTTGTTAACATCAAGTTGACCATTCTATCATGCATTATTTACGTGCCAATGTACTCCCACAGAGACACTCAAACAGAAGCACAGTGAACGTTTATTTTTAATAACACAAAAGCATGCAAGAGGTTATTTTTATTTTGTTGTGGTTGTTTTTTTCTCCCTAGAAATGTCAACTAACCATGTCCTCTTCGTTTACGCCTAATTTGATCATCTTGGTCCACTGGTTGGCTAGTCAACCCCCACACCACCACTTGCGCAACGTGTACTCGGCCGTCTTTACTGTTACTATATAAATTCAGCTCATTGTCCACAGATTTCTGAAGCACCTAAAAAATATATTACAACCATTTATTAAGAGAGGAGACAAGACAGTTGGGGCAGTCTTGCGTATGGGAAACAAAGTTGAAAATAAAATGTATGTGCAATTATTAAAGTAGGATTGTGTTCTTTTTCAAGTATCGTCACTATTTCAAAGACAAATTAGCAAGGCAACATCTCATTAATATGCAAATTAGCCATATCACTTGAACACTGAATCTGGAAGATTTTTGATAAAATCGCACATTACATACAAATAATATTAGCTCCCCTAAAAAAAAAAAAAAAACAGAAACAGACTATACTTTTTAAAATGGCCCTAAGACCACATGGAGCGCTGCACTATTATTTAGAAAAAGAAAAAGTCATGAAAATGTCAGAGTTTTTTTTTTCCTTTGATTGAACAACTCTATTGGTGGTGTAGTATAATTATACCTCACATAGCATCCCCTGACAAGATATTTTCAAAATGCATGCTGACTCTGTCAACCATGTCACCAAGTCAACAATAATTACGCGAGCACGAGAATCAGCATGATAGTGTTACACATAGAAGAAAAGAAATTGATACAAATCAATAGTCAATCTATGACAAAGAGTGTTAATTGACAGAATTGTTTGGAAACGTTGCTTGGCACTTACTGGTTGCCTAGTCCATATGGTACATTTCACCCCGGTGTAAAATGAGATATAGCCTTTCCTGTAATTGGGGCAATTAGGCAGGAATTCTTTATTTCACAACCTCAGATCATTTTATTTTTTCATTATTATAGCCATTTCTGGTCAGAGACCATTTACCCTCTTGAAAGCGGTCATTAATGTCAGTTATTTTCCCCAAAACTAATTAGGTGTGTGTATATTTTTTTACATTCTTACATACATTTCTATGAATTGTTATTTTTTTTATGACTTTTTATTGTCAGATCATTCGTTTGAGTTTACTTTTTTTTTTTAAATTCGAAATTTCCTGACATTCATATCACAAAACAAGTAAATATGATATGACATCAATAGCACAGACTGAGAATTAATACATAAAACAAGTCATTTTTATTGAAATAGTCCCCGTTCGAATTTGGGGAAATGTTATTCATGCCAAAAATAAAGTTATGGACCAAAAGCATAGTTAGTAATTGAAAGTGAATAAATGGCTGGTCTAGTATCAACATAAACAAGATGTACCGGTATTAAATGACTCTTCCAAAATCGTAAGGTATGGTCATAAATTAAACAGGATACGCTATTCATGCATTTTTTGTATCCAAACTGAATTTCCTTTGTC